TGTGTTTAATAAAAGTTCAATAATTTAATCAAATTTTAAACATGCTTTACTAAAATTTAGCAATTTTTCTGTAATTACAGTATAACCGAAACTGTAAAAATGTGTGGTTAATTTGATAAACGGCAAACAATAAAAAGCAGTAATGAAAAAATAATTCTTCCGTTTCAAGTATTAGATAACTTGAAAGAATGTGTCTAAGATCTTACTGGGGCTGAGAAAACGGTTCTATTAGAGGTTTTACGGTAAATGGGCGCAAAGTTGTCGGTTTGGGTGACACTCTATTTTTAAAACTTTCTGGCTTTACAGTTTTCTGGACGTTGGCAAGATTTGGAAACCGACCCATACGATAATGTAGTTCATTTTGATGGAGAGACCCATTTGGCAAATGTGAAACAACTGACGTTTGGAGGAATGAACGCCGAGGGATATTTCAGTTTTGATAATTCCAAATTGACACTCCAAGCGACAGGATACGGTACCGATTGTGACCAAATCTACGAACTAGATCTGAACACTGACCCAAAACTTCAAACTTTGAAACGAATCAGTACGGGACTCGGTGGAACGACTTGCTCTTATTTCTACAAAGAAGCAGATAACAACCATAGACTATATGCTGGAAACTGGTGGAATGTGAAGATTGATGTAAGCTTTGATTTGGGAGAATCATTAATCATAATCCCTTTAACGTTATTTCTGCTTATCAGTAAGTTTATTTAGCTTATCACAAAGACCCGAATTAAGTCTGGGTAAAACCAACAGTGTGAGATGGTGCAATATAATCATGTTTCAGAACACAACCGATGTCTCCAAAACGTGCCCAGAGAAAAAATGTGCGAATCCAAAAACTGATGAGCTTAAGCAATTGTGTAATACAAGTTATACTTGGGATATCTTTGATGATTATGATATTTTCAAGGTATTTACAGTAAGATATACAAATACATATTTTCAGTTGATTTTCAGCCATTTTCAGGAGTCTGGAACTCGGTCTTCAAGCTTCCAATTAATTGAACAATTTTGGAGAATTTAGTACAGACCTAGATTGAAAACTTTGCATTCACTGAATTTTTTGAAAATTCTTTTTATTTTCGATTTTTGAAAGACACCCATTTTCGACATGTGTTGTACTGAAAACTTGAAAAAAAACAGGCGCCTTTCAGAAATCGGCAAAAAGCTGAAAAATAGAAAGTTAAAAAAAATTTTTGTGGATGCAAAGTTTTTTAATTTAGGTCTGTTTTACACCATCCAAAATTTTCAAAGTGATCGAAAACTTGACTGTCGGGTTACAGAGTCCTGAAAATATTCAAAAGGAAATTGAAAAACGCATTTTTGTATATCTTATTGGATTCTCAGAATATGACAAAGATTCTAGGTTGATCGTTACGGAAACTTTGTTCAACGACTCACTAATTCTCCAGGATACGACGCAGAAGGCGTGGTATCTCCCGATGGAACCAAGATTGCATTTACTTCGATTCGTTCTGGAGACTTGGAATTGTATGTGATGAATACAGATGGGTCTAATTTAACTCGAGTTACAAATACACTCGGTTATGATGGTGGATCCTTCTTCACTCCGGATGGAAAACGTCTCATTTTCCGAGCAAGTCGACCAAAGACAGACGAAGAAATAGCCAAATACAAGAAGCTTTTGTCCTATAATCTCGTTGAACCAATTGCAATGGAGTTGTTCATCGTTGATATTGATGGAAAGAATATGAAACAAATCACGAAGTTGGGAGAAGCAAACTGGGCACCTTATATGTTGAATGACAACAAGAGAATCGTCTTCAGTAGTAATTATGATGCAGCAGCAAACGGATTTGGTGCTTTCAGTCTGTATATGGTAAATGTTGATGGTACTGGATTAGAGAGAATCACATATGGAGAGAATCAATTCAATTCGTTTGCCATGCAAAGTTACGATGGAAAGAAATTGGTTTGGGGATCGAGTCGGAATGGAACACAATACGAATTGAATCTTTTCATTGCTGATTGGATCGATTATCCAAATGCCACATCATCTACACCAACTGTACCAACAGCTTCCCCAACGACTCCGCAGGGTCCAGAAAGTAAGTGAAAGTTTTTGAGAATTCAATAACCGGCATGGAATTCAGCAAGCACTAAATCTTCTACTTCACTATCACTTCTTTCAACGTTCTCACTTGTTGTTATCGCATGCTTTTACTAATACTTGCATGGTATTTTTTCCAATTCTTACTATCCAAATTGAAGATTTTTCAGAACGATGGTGGAGACGTCATGGATTCTAACCTACTAAAATCAATCGACTTGTTGCTTTCTATAAGTTGTAGTTTCAATTGCAATACAATCCAATGAATAATTACTGTCTTTTAACTGCTTATTAAGTTTAAAACCTAAGAAAACCGGTACGAGAGAATTGAAAAGAGAAGAGGAAACATAAAAAACGGGGATTCGTTAAAACGGAATAAAACATATGAACGTGCGAGATGATAATCTATTCCGAATTCTAGTAAGAAGATTGGAATGATGACTCCTTATTATTACGGTTTCGGAAGTTCGGGCGAGGTCCATCACGTCCTTCTTCGCACTTTCGGCGGTAGCGTGCTGCCTCCTGTCTCAATTTATCAGGAACTTCCTGACCGGATTTCTCGAGAATCGAAATGAGTCCGTCGAAATTTGAGCGATCATTCCACCACATGAAACTCATCGACTCTCCTTTACGCCCGGCTCGTCCGGTACGTCCGACACGATGAACGTACTCTTCGATATCCATCGGGAAGTCATAGTTGAGAACATGTCTGAAAATAATAATTACCTAGATTTTCAATCAAATTTGACTTACGTGATATCAGGAACATCGATTCCTCTGCTGGCGAGATCGGTGGCGACGAGAATCTGAACTTCTCCAGTTTTCAGCATCTTCAAGGAAAGTTCTCGATCTGATTGAGACCTTCCACCATGGAGTCCTTGCGAATTGATTCCTTTCATGCAGAAATCCGATGAGAGATGATCCGCCATCACTTTCGATTTGACGAAAATGATCATTTTGTATGAATTACCGAATTGTTGATTTAAGAAATTGACAATTTCACAGACACGGTCGAATCGGTTCTCCTGTGGAATGAACTCGAAATACTGAGTAACACTTTTGCATGACTGAAAAACTACTTTTTGTCTAGAAAATGTGACTAAAACTTGACGGACCGCCAAATCAAGGGTTCCATTAACAGCCATGATTGCTTGCTTAGTATACCGATCAGTGAGATTCCTCACTGCTTCTGGCCACGTGGCACTGGTCAATGCGACAAGTCTATCTGGACGAATCTCAAACAAAATACGACGAATAGCAGCTTCGAAGCCCATATCCAACATGCGATCGGCTTCATCAAGAACGACGTATGTCACAGAGGCCAGAGAAATTACTCCATCGTTGGACAGATCTGTCAAGCGACCCGGAGTTGCAATAACTGAAAAGCAAAAGTTTTGGCTCTTTTCTAGTTTAGAGGTCCCAAAAAAATTTAGAGGCCCGAAAAAAAATTAGAGGTCCCAAAATAAAATAGAGGTCCCAAAAAAAATTAGAGGTCCCAAAAAAAATTAGAGGTCCCAAAAAAGTTTAAAGGTCCCAAGAAAAAATAGAGGTCCAAAATACGAAAAACGCGCAGATGTTGGAATAATGTACTAGTATTTGAACTGTGCGAGTAGTTTGAGTTTTAGGGTCTTATAGGATGACATGACTACTCCTAACAATTTTAGCTCCAATTCTCTCGCATCTTGCCGATGAACCCAATTTACATATGAGGAAAATTTGGGCAATACAGTAATCACTCCGTGATTATGCTGTCTCTCAGGCTTAGATAATTGTCAGAAAATATGCATTCCTAAGCCTATTAGAAGTATAAAATATATCATCAACAATTATTTTGCTATAAGACCTCAAAACTTTAAATTCTTACACAATTCAAATTTTAGTACATTATTCCGGTATCTGTGCATTTTTAAGTTTTGGACCACTATTTTTTCTTGGGACCACTAAACTTTTTTGGGACCTCTAATTTTTTTGGGAGCTCTATTTTATTTTGGGACCTCTAATTTTTTTTCGGACCTCTATTCTTTTTTGGGACCTCTATTCTTTTTTGGGACCTCTAAACTAGAAAAGAGCCAAAGTTTTTCTGTTTAGAAGAAGGTCAATAATACCAATTTCCACTCCTCCTTTGCATGACTGCACTTGTTCTGATCTTGATCCACCTCCATATAAGCATACACTTTTGTAACCGTTGTAACTGTATTTCTTCACTTCCCCTTCAATCTGTTGAGCTAGTTCACGCGTTGGACTGAGAACCAGGACAGATGGTGATGGTTTCTTCTCGTTTTTATCGTATTGTGCTAGTTGAGCATCAATATGAAGAAATGCAGGAAGCAAGAAGGCGAGCGTTTTTCCAGATCCAGTCTGAGATACTCCGATACAATCTTGTCCTGAGAGAAGAATCGGCCACATTTGAGACTGGATTGGAGATGGTTTTTCGAATCCGTTCTTCTGGATTTCGTTCATGATCGACTCTGTAATAACAAATATGCAAACATTGCCTCAGTTTATAAGCACTACTTACGATTATGCCCGAAAGCTTCCTTGAATGTTTTCACAGGCAATGGAATGTCGACTTTAGCATCTTCACGGAACGGATAAACTTTCATAACACCTCCATTTGAATACAATTCGTTCAGTTGTTCCTTTGAAAGGTTATCAGGCTTGTTTGGAGCATTATACAGATTCCTTTCAATCGGTTTCATCCAATTGAACTGATCATCATGCAACCGATCGGCAATCGAGCTTTCAATTGTTTTCACTGGCTCAGGTTCTATGAAAGTATAAGTTTAACTCAAAAAAAAAACGTTTTTTTCACTTACCAACAGGTTTTTTCACAAGAGTCAGCATATCAACAGAAATAGAGTCGAGAATCTCAACTTGCGATGAAGACAAATGGAAGATGGGAAATATTCACCTACAGTAATCTAGAAAGTGCTGCGAAACACTGCTGTGGCTAGTCGTTATGTTCCTTTAAACTGTGTGCGCCTTCAAACTTTCTATCAATTTCGAAATTTTTTTGTTTTCTCGATTCTTCTCAATTCTCTGTTTTAATTTTTTGAGCTGATGTAGTGGAATTCTTTCCAAATGAAACTTTTGTGTTCCAACTAATTCAAAATGCATGAATGTGGCGGGTAGTAACGATCTCGTCTCTTCTTCAAACTTGTATGTTGATAGGGGGCGAGAAGAAGTAACCTCGAGTACTACGGATGAGCACAATTATTCATTCATTCAGTCTTCACATTTCGAAACAGTTTTCTCTTTTCATCCTTATGTTTTCTTGTTGTGCGTTGATATTTTTCTCGAGGGACCTCGTCGTGTTTGTTGACTCGCGTATGTTTTCTATGTTTCTTTGCAGATTTGGGTTGAAAAAAAAAGATAAGGTGGATTTTGAAATCTTTAACTTCGTTTTAGACGATTCAAAGCTCATTCAATGTGCTAAATTCCGATGAAACAAGACCTAATAGAATGTTCTTGGTAACTCGCTTTCTCTCATCAATCTGTTCCCCCCGAAATAATGGCCAACTACATCTCCGTTTATAGCCATCATCTTGTGCCGTTTTCAATACTCATCCATCTATTCAGTTGTCTCCATACCCTATGTCTCTTTTTCTTCCCGGCTCCATTCTCTCGAATTGAGCCATGTTTATTATTGTAGTCTCATATGATTAAGTGCATATGTATAGATGATGTGAATAGCTAATGTTATATTCCAAAAAACGAGGGTCCCTCTGTGATCAAAAATTCCCTGAAAAGTGCTACTAAAAATGACGTTCGCGGTCTTCCGTCTTCCACATCAATCCTTTACTTTTTTCTCTATCCCATGGAAGGATTCATACTTTTCGTCTTTTCGAAACATTCTCCGCAAAAAAGTTAGTTTTTTTTGGGAAAAGTGTGAAAAGAGCAGCAGTTCGGATTTTAATTCTTAGCTCCAACAGACGACTTCTCCTTCTTTTCTTCTTCTTTTTCTTGCCTTCCTTCCGCCAGTGAACTAATTTTGGGAGTCTTTCTTCTACTCTGTTGTCAGAACTCCCGAAATTCATAAAGTAACAAATCAGTTTCAACATCTTCGGTGCCAGTTGCACTATCTCGATGCCACAGTAATCTCCCACTAATCTCTTCTCTGAGAACTTTGAGTTCTTTTTGACGTCTTCTGAGTTTCTGGGTTCCGTTCGCTTCACTTATCACAACAACCAATCTTTCCCCCTTTTTCCTCCCCCAATTTTTCTTTTGTTTTCTGGTTTTGCTTTCCTTCTGCTGTGCCACAATTGCATTCTGTTTATCCTGGGGTCTGATATTTTTTCCCTATTTTGCGTGTTTCCCATACGGAACGGCTCCAAAATCTTGTTTTTGCATCCAGATACGGGATTTTTAGCGAAGTCTGCATGGCTGGAATTATGCTGACATCGGAGCCGTGGAAAAGAAAATCTGGACTCCGTGGCCACGGCCGAACTACCGTAAAATCGAAATTTTTCTGGAAATTCATCCGTTTTCCAGAATTTTTTCAGATTTAGAAATACTTTATTTTCCGACTTGTCTGAAGGTTTTCAAAACAAAAGTTGTCGGTAAGCGATAGTAATCGCAAACAAAAATGTTTAATTGCTGTGAAACCCGTAATAGAGTCGAGGAATTGGAATCCACCTGAAATTATGAATCCATCTGAAATTTTCCTAATTTTTCTCTCAAAAAAGGGCGCCTGCTTTATAAATGTTTTTTTCATCCTCTTCTTAAAAGGTAATTTTTTTGAAAATATATTGGACCAACTCGTATCCTTCTGTACTAATGACTACCGTATTCTGTCTGATAGAAGCCCACATAAAACGTCAAATTTTAGTCAAATTATCTCGGTTCCTGTCGAAGATATCGAAAAGTTGTCAACTGGTAAATTTTTTATCGTTATTTCACAAATATCTATCAGTTGGCATTTTTTCGATATCTCTAATAGGAAACAAGATGATTGAGCTCAAACTTGACAGTGTAGGGGCCCTTCTATTACAGGTTTTACGGTGCGCTAGCTGTCGTTGTGGGGCGTTTCTCTTCCACAGATCCGATTTTTTAAACAAGCATAATATGGGTTTACGGTAGTTTAGGATTGTCAAACTTGGTCAGTACATACGACATGTTGCTGGAACCAACTATCCATATTTCCAACATTTTCTCATTAATCCAGTTTGCCGACGGCGGTCGTCCTAAGTTTATGTGAGTACGGAATACCACTGGAAATTGTGTTTACCACGAATACCCTGCCTCTTTTTTGCTCCTCTGATGATGACAAAAAAAGACAACTTTGGGGTGTTCTTCAAAGTCAACGACATAGTTTTTCTCGCTTCTTCTTCTCCTCCTCCTCATCTCACGAAAAGTGTCCCTTTGACGAGTTGGAAAACGGAAGGAAGTCAATTGTCTCCGTGCCCAAAGAGCGGCAGTTTTCTCAACTTTTGGTTCTTTTTTCGTTTATGCTTTCTTCTGTTTTTTTTTCATCTGTCCTCAAACAAAGTTCTTTTATCGAGAGAAAAAAATAAACGACACAACAAAAAAAGATGTGCTAGACGTCCTTAGTACCCTAAACTCCTCTTTTCTAGCCGAGCCAATCTTGCTCTTATTATTCTCGACGACATAGATAAGCACAAAAAAAAGAGGGAGAGAGGAATGATGTCGTGTTGCGTTTTTCCGAAGTGAATCGAAGAGGATGTCGCAAAAAAAGAGGAGGAGGAGAATGAGTGTGGAATGATACATTTTGACGATCATCTCTCTTGGTTTTATCGTTTCGAAACTCTCGTAAATCCTCACATCGAATGGAATCACTTCAGTCATTTAAATTTAGAATGCTCTTTTAGTTTGTGCGGTGTGGAAGTCAGGAGTTTTAGTAAAGTATTCTTCTCCAGTGTCTACAGTACCCTCTGTTGAAGTTTGTTCGACAACTCAAAATCTAGAACACTCAGCGATTCTTTTATTGCATTTTCTGCATTTTCTGTTGTAATCTCAACTTTTTGAAGTAATCCTATTCTTATTTTTCAGATATCCATCCGCAGCGATGCGGATTCCCAATCCCGATCCTGTACTCATCGTATGCTTCTTACTATGCATCGTTTCTGTCGTCTCATCAACAAAAGAGAAATCAGATCCATGTCTGGATAGAGATGTTGTAAGTGAATTGACAAATCTTCAAAAATTTCTATTACTAAAAAAATCAAAGCTGAGAATGAGAAACGACGGGGCCATGGCCGAAGGTCCCACTACGACAGCTACAATAACCTAAAAAAAGTTTTTCTCGGATTTATTTTGTCGATTTTCGGAAACAGAAAACTCTACGAAAACACTTGGGTCCCAGGAAGCGGGTCAGAAAGCGCGCCCCAGTAAATTTTAAAAAAATTCTAAATTCGCTGCCGAACTTCGTTGGCTGACCACTATCTGGAGTCGACTCCAAGTTACACTTCATGACCTATATCATTAGAAGGCCCATGAAATTCTGATTCTGAATATGTTTTCTGTTTTTGCGAAATGGCTGGGAGCTTCGAGAAAATTAGTTCACAAGACAATTTAGTGGTAGTCACTGGGG